ACTATATTGTGGTTAATCGCTATGATTTGATATATATACTTTGTTCAATTTCATCGCCTATAAAGTAGAATGATATTAAATAATCAAAATAATGACATTAAAGTAAAATGAAAGAAAAATATATGCCAAACCCGCAATTTAAAACCAAATCAAATGCAACCCCGGATCTCCCGACATTAAGAGGTTAGTGGTGGCCACAAGCCATGTACAAGAGAGAAAAGAATGTGCATCTCAGTTCTTTCTTCATCAAGTATTTGGGCAGACTTGCGGCTCCTCTGCGAGTACAGGGAAAGGGCGCCCTGCCTAATGAGAATTTCTTTTTCGAGAAAGCTCAATCTTTTCAGCCCTAGCTATTACTATTCCATTTTAAGGGAAAGAAGGATCTTTCTTCTCTAGCTGATTGGGGCGTCCATTGGTGGAACTCAGCCGGGACCTCTCGCAGACCTGAAACTCCAGTTTTTGGCTAGTGTTCATTGCTGAGTGATCGCTCGCTATCTGGTTGGAAAAGGTGGTCTGAAAGCTTAAGTTTAGGCTTGGAAAAATCTCAAAATTGATATAAAGTTTGATTTAGGTTTAGGATTTTCCCAAATTATTTTATATGGTTTGATTCAAATATATATATATATAGTGTGTGTGTGTGTGTGAAAGAGAAAAGATCTAATAAGCACCGGTACTCCTCTTATCCTAAGCACCGATAATGTGTCATATTAATTTATTGATATATAAAAATTTTGTGAATTCCAACACTGATGCTTAGTATAAGATGAGCACCAGTGCTAATACTTAAAATTATCACACCAATTAGCATTATGCATATGTTTCGCCACATGGAATCAACTTTCAATGATGGGTACATTGTTTTTGTAAGATCTTGCAAAGTTTAATAAAAAAAAAGCCATATACTAATAGAAAATTTTGGTTATATTCCCATGGCGAAGAATTATAATTTGTTATATTTGGTCATTTACTTATGATATGGTAGGTTAGTGGGACGGAGATAACAAGCAATAATATCTTAGTTTACAAAGCTAAGAATACGATATTTCAAACATGAAAAAGCTAAAGACAAAAATTTATATCATCAAAAACAATGGAAAGGACAAAAAACCATATTTATGTTTCTAAAAGTTGTGCAACAATACCACAACTTTTTCAGTTTTTACAACAATTAGAAAAAACCTTGTAGGTCAATTGAGCCACTAAAGAGCACATACAGTAAATTCTTTAACATAATTGTTAAGAGATAAATTTTACATTGAATAAAGATGAAAATATAAATCAACATATAAGAATTTGAATTACTCATTTTAATAAGATTGACATTTTAAAATGAAATCCCAAATTTTACAATGATATCGAAGCCTATTAAATTTCAATGAGCAAAATACCATTAAGAATAAAAAAATGAGCACCCAGATTTCAATATTGGCTTGCCCAAACAAACTACCATCGTATGGGACATGTTAAAGGATAATTTCACATTGAATTAAGATGAAGTATAAACCAATGTATAAGAGGCTTATGTAACTCGTCTTAATAAGATTGAACTTTTAAAATGAAACCTGAAATCTTAATAAATATATTTATACAGTTTCGAATAAAGCTGGGCCCAATAATTTACTATGTAGGAATTGTGATGACATTGACAACACCTTACAAGATATTCAATGTTCTCTTTTACCATTTTCTAGTCTAAGAAGCACGGATACTGATACATAATTTGGATACGATACGATACAAGTACGTCAATATTACTTTTTTTTTTTAATTAGGATATGCATATACGTGTTATAAAATGCAATATAATTTCATTAATATAAAAAAATTCAGGATTAATAGCAGAAAATCCTCTAGAACCGTTTTCATTTGCGATATACCCCTACCTATTGGAAATCGCAGAAAATCCACTTGTTTGAATATCAACTAATAACATCCTCAAACCCCCTTTTATTTGAAGAGTTTCTAGAGAACCTATTTCTAAAAAGATAAAGCAAAAAATGCTATTCTTTTACATTGGTGGGACAAAAAAGAAATCAAATAGATTCTTTATTTGACATAAAGAATGTTTTTAACAGAGTGTTGTTTAATTTTGTTTGGTTGAAATTACTGTGTGCTACCAGTTCTAATTATTTCGTTGAATCGAAAGAATTTTAGTGTTGCTTTTTGAGAACCTTTGATCGGCTATCATTTTGTCATTTTTTACATGAGCAATCTGACGTGTCATGTCAAGAAAAAGTAACAACAGGCAAGGAGATTACTAGGGTTCAAAAGATGTTCTATTTGCATATAATATAAAAACCAACAGAGATGTTATGACTTTCTATAATATGCTGCGCCCATAGTGTTATGATTTGAACCTGAAAACCAAAAAAATTAAACAAAGGTAATACCAATTTTAGCTTAAAGCAACACTGTGAAAAACAGACTCGAAATTTTCATGGGCTTTTTATTGGATCACTGCAATGAAAGGAATGGGCTTTCATTAAAGGGACTAACCCAAATTCAATGGGGAATATTTTGTCAAGAAAATGTTTGGGATGCACTTGTAAACAATATAAGTGTTTACGCACTAAAAGTGCAGTCCAAATCGAATAGCCCAAGGAGTGAAGCTCAAGGAGTGAATCCCCAAATCAAATAGCCCAAAGAATGAAGCCCAACTGGGCAATTCAGGATAAAGGCCCAAATAGGGTTATTAATGAATGCAGTGGAAGCCCACGAACTCGGTAACACCATCGCCTGAACTTGCAAGACGCCTAAGATCTGAGCGAATGAAGTATCTTGCGACTGCCCAGAGTTATGACTATGTTCTCGTCCAAACCTTCAAATCGCCCAGGATCTTAGCAAACATAAGATGTTATGGTTATCCAAAAGTGCAGTTATCGAAGCAGTTATTGAGTAATCTTATCACGTTCCACGATTCAAGGAGTTCAGTTGAAAACGGTTGAACGACAAAGAGTAGTGGCAGCAGTTAGAGACGGCAGTTCCACGATAAGTTGGCCACCATGAAGAAAGTGGGCAGTTATAAAGCAATTAAGCAGTTTCTAAGCGGTTGATTACGAAGAAATCATCAAGGGAATATAAAAGGAAGAGAAGACATAGAGTAAAGGAGTCCGAATCAAACACTCTCAAATAGAAAATATGTAATTTCAATTTCTTAGTTTATACTTAAACATTTCTTTTCAGTACTCGTGTGCTTGCGCCCCTTGGAGGCATTCTGTTTAAGTTCCAATTGTAAAGTCATCGCCAATAAAACACCCCTTTTTGGGACTTTGTCTCAAGAGCTTTGTTCCTTATACAATTGTCTGATCCCTTTTTAATTGTTAGCGACTACCCGCGCGAAACAATTTGGAACACCCAGTGGGACCTTGGTTTTTGGTGTTGAAGATACAAAAGGTGAAACAATATGTCTCAGAAATCTGATAAGAAAGCAGCAAGTCAGGGAGGAGTCCAATCTGTGATCGAGCGATATGAGGAGCAGCATAATTCTCCACGAACAAATGGACAAAATCAGAGCAATCATAGTCGTTATGAACCAATGACAGAGTTGAGTCCTCGAACCATGCGTGCATTACTCGGAGAACTCACACAAGATGTCGTTGAATCGGTAAATCTATGAAATATTCATAATATGGAAAGATTTACCCAAAATGGGAATGCACATTATGACAACATGGCCAAACAACTGAATACTTTGAACGAAATAATGAATAAGTTAGTAGACCAAATTTGTCAGCCAGTTGTGCCTCTTGCAAACCACTTTCAAATTAGGACAATTGTGGGATATAATCCCCCAGTCCTAAGTTTAAATCAAGGGGTAGAATCACCTTTTGATCCCTCTACTTCAAACTAGGGGGTGGTGTAATACCAAATCAGAATAGTGGCAATGGTACATCTAACTTGGGGGTAACTTAAACGTAAGAGATAATGTCCTAAATAAATGATAGAATACCCCACGCGTTAATGATGGAATAAATGTTCAGGCTAATGGTAACAATGGCCCAAATCATGGCAACTTTGTTGCCAACCAAGGACCAAACATCAAGCCTCAAGCAAATCAACCGGTCAACCAACCTGTAGGAATTCCATATGACCCCAACGTCATGTTGAGGAATCAGATTATGGAAATACTGCAGGACCAGATGGCTTTTGGGGTATGTCCTATCATTAGGCTGACTTACACAAAGCCATATCCTGATTGGGTAGACCAAGTATATCCATGGTCTAGAGGGTATAAAGTGTCAGAATTCTCACTGTTTACCGATTTAGAAGAGGTGTCTACTCTAGAACACATGGGGCGATTCACACTGCAAAGTGGTGATGTAACTGATTACCATAAAATGAGGTTGTTCCCTAGTTTATTAACAGGAGTAGCCTTCTCCTGGTTCATCAATTTGCCAGCAAACTCTGTCTGAACATGGCAACAATTAGAGCAATTGTTCCACGCTCAGTTTTATAAGACTGAGTCTGAAGTTACTTTGGTCAATTTGGTGAATCTACGTCAAATGCCAAACGAATGGGCAGAAGGTTTCCTTCAAAGGTTCAAGATGGCAAGAAGTAAATGTTTTGTACCTTTGCTCGAAAAGGAGTTTGTCAAAATCGTTCAAGGTTGCTTAAGATTTGATTTGAAAAAGAAATTCCAAGACAAGGAATTTTCTGATCTTTTCCAATTGAGCGCGAACGTGATTAGGTATGAACGATTAATAAGAGAAGAAGAGCAAATGAAAAATTCTAGCAAGGGGACTTATTATAGAGACCCAAATTTTGATGTTCATACCATTAACGACGAGTATTACGATCAAAACGAAATGTGTTTGGCCGAATTAATCAAAGAAGACACGTATACTTGTCCTATAATGACTAAGCCTAGACCGTCGGGCAAGGATGAGCCTATAAAAAATGAAAACAAAAATGTTAGAACATTCTCGTTCAATGTAACCAAAGTTGACCTTATATTTGATAAACTATATAAGGATAAGCAGATAAAGTTGAGTGATAAACATAAATTGCCAAGCCCTGAACAAGTTAAGGGTAAAAAATATTGTAAGTGGCATAATGCATGGTCACAATTGACTAATAACTGTTTGGTTTTTCGCCATGTGTTACAGGATGCTATTGAATCAGGACGAATTACGTTTGAGGATAAGAGGAAGATGGCAGTGGATGAAAACCCTTTTCCACAGCCACTTGAGGTGAACATGGTGACGACTGGTTTCAAAAACAAGTTGCCAAAATTTAAGTTGGTTATAGATAACGGGGAAGAGGACGCTGGACCACATCCCAGTGTCTTTGAACGTATCAAAGGGAAAGAGTCTGAAAAGGATGAAGATGTCCTGTGTCCAAGATGTAAAAGAGAAGTGAATGGGAATACAGAGAAACCAGGGAAATGGCAGCATCACCGTCGCCCTAGTTTTTTCCCAAACGCTCAGCCTGGTAGAGGGCGAGGTACATCGTTCTATAGAGGATCGCCTTTTGAGAGGCAGTTCAGGCCAGTGAATAATGGGAGAACATTCAGGCCGCAGCCTCGCCAACCAAATGTATGACATTCGTTCCAGTATAATGCAGGAAGGGCGATACCCTTCAACGAGATTACTAGAACCCAGCAAACGCGTTTTCAACGGAACTATGGACGAATGATGAGGCAACAATAGGGAATGCCACGTCCTAAGGCACCTAAGCTACTCGAGGTGGCCAATCAAAATATTCTCGAAGACAGTGAGGAGACTGGTATAGGTGAGTCGATGAAAGAGTTGCCAGAAAGTTCTTCTGGGAGGTCGAAGTTTGAGCGAGACAGAAGGGATGAAGAAGATCCAGATCAGCCCCTTACTATTCAGTTTGGTACGTTACCTCTTGTTGTGGCTAATAACTATTTACTAGCCAATGAGTTCAAGAATAAAGAGAAGGAAGAAGAAGAAAATGAGGATAACGAAGAGGAAGCATGCATGATGGAATATCAAGAAGGCCAAACTTCTAGAGATGCCTACAATGGTGAAGAAGATGATGGTATGACAGACATCGAAGAGGAAATCGATCTGGAAGCAGAAAGGAGAAAAAGAGGAGTGTCTTACAATACTCTATTGAAGCAACTACATCGAGAGGGAGTTCGTGAAGTAGACTTATTAGGAGAACCATTTGGGCGTTCTTTCGATTATTACGTGCTGTACGGGACGCCCGAAAAGAAGAAGAGAGTGCCTGGCTCTGAAAAGTATGGATCACCTTCAAGAATAATGTCTCCTCCCATAGGTTGGGTAACTGAAGAAGAAGCATTAGAAAATAGTAAAAAGGAAATTCAGGAGACAGGCTCAGTGCGATATGCTGCACGTTGACTTATCACAAAAGAGAAACTCGACAGAAAACAAGCAGGAAATGGAAATAGATGCTGACGAAAAGGTTATTTTTAAGCGACCAGCCATGAAATTGACCAAACACTTGAGGCCATTGTACGTTAAAGCTCTAGTTAACAACATACCTGTGGCAAAAGTGCTTGTCGATAATGGAGCAGCTATAAACATCATTCCATCTAGGATGATGAGGAAATTCGCAAAGACAGAAGATGATATGATCCTAACGGAAGTCATCCTAACAAGTTTCAATGCAGGAGCAACTTCAGCTAAAGGGGTTATGTCATTGGACATAACTATAGGAATAACTCCTAGGACCACAGTCTTCTTTGTAATAGATGCTCCCACTAGTTACAATGTGTTATTAGGAAGAGATTGGATACACGGAAGTCACTGTATCCCCTCATCGCTCCATCAATGTCTAGTTTTTTGGAGTGACAAGGGCGAAGCAGAGGTGGTGCAGGCCGATCATAGGCCTTTTGTCGCAGAATCAAACTCAGTGAAAAAGTTCATGTACGAAGAAAATTATGGACCTGTCAGAGTAGTCCAAGATAGAGAAGAAACTCAGATTGTCCCGCAGAGTGAAGAGCCATTTTCGGTGGATGCACTCACTGAAATGTTCAGTCAGATGAGGCTAAACATAGTGGCCCTAGAGGAGCCAGTAATTGGCAAAAGAATAATCAAGGAGTTTTGAATGAGTTCTAAGCAACAAAGGCAAATGGTCGATATTCAGACCTTCAAAGCTAAATTAATGGCTTTTAATAAAGAACGTAAGGACAAGGCGAATGAAGAAGAAGCCTTTGAAGCATTAAAAGACAAATTAGCAGTATTCGAGTTGGAACAAAGTGTTGGCTGAGAAGTCAACAAGGTGGATTGTTTAGAAGAAAAAGTGCCTACAAGGGAACTGGACGACGAAGTGATAAGGATTGCCAAGCCTAGATACGCTCAAGCACAAGACCCCCTGATTAAAGTGAATGTTGGCAATGAAGGAGAAGATCACCCAACATTCATCAGCCAATTGCTCGATCAAGAGGTTAGTAATAAATTAATCGCTTTATTAAAGGAGTACAAAGATTGTTTTGCTTGGGAATATGAACATATGCCTGGTTTAGATAAAGATTTGATGGAACATAGATTACCAATCAAGCCTAATTTTAAACCTCATAGGCAACCTCCTAAGCGTTTCGCTCCTAATGTATTCCCTGAAATTAAGGAAGAGATAGAGCGATTATTAAAAGCAGGCTTTATTAGAACGACCAGATATATTGAATGGTTGTCCAATATCGTGCCGGTATTAAAAAAGAATGGTAGACTAAGGATGTGCATAGACTTTAGGAATCTAAACATAGCCACACCTAAAGATGAATATCCAATTCCCACGGTAGATTCTTTACTAGACTCGACTGCCGGACATGTGATGTATTCCTTCGTGGATGGGTATTCAGGAAACAATCAAATTTATATAGTTGAGGAAGATATACATAAAACTGTCTTTAGATGCCCTGGGTCTCTAGGATGTTTTGAATTGGTAGTTATGCCTTTCGGCCTGAAAAATGCAGGAGCAACTTATCAAAGGGCAATAAATTTGATTTTTCATGATATGATAGGCAAGTTTGTTGAAGTATATGTAGATGATATAGTGGTCAAATCCATTAAAGAAGAGAGCCATTTTGAACAATTAAGATGTTCATTTGAGCGAATGAAGCAATATAAACTAAAGTTGAATCCCTTGAAATGTGCATTTGGTGTTAATGCAGAGAATTTTCTTGGTTTCTTAGTACACAAAAGGGGGATTGAATTTGATAAAAATAAAGCAAAGGCCATTCTAGAGGCCAAACCACCTAACAACAAAAAAAATTGCAAATGTTTCTAGGCCAAGTAAACTTTTTAAGACGCTTTATTTCTAACTGTGCAGGGCGAACTAAAGCTTTTTCGCCGCTTTTAAAGTTAAAAAATAAGGACGAATTCGTTTGGAAAGAAGAGCATCAAAAGGCTTTCGAAAGCCTAAAGACATATTTATCAAGTCCACCAGTGTTGGTGTCACCAATCCAAGGACGGCCAATGAAAGTGTATGTATCGACTAAAAAGGAATCAATAGTTGGAATGGTCGCGCAAGAAGACCAATTTGGTGAAGAAAGGGCGATTTACTACTTGAGTAGACGGTTAAAAAATGTGAATGTAATTACTTTGCCATTGAAAAATTATGTCTTGCATTGTATTTCACATGTACAAAATTAAGGGCTTATTTACGGCCCATAACCGTTTATTTGATTTTCAAAGTAAATTTGGTTAAGTATATGTTCTCTCGCCCTATTTTACACCAAAGGATAGGCCTTTGGACGTTAGCATTATCAGAATTTGAAATACAATACATACCCCAAAAGGCAATAAAAAATCAGGCATTGGCTAATTTTCTGGCCGATCATCCATGTCTTGACATGCCTGAAAAAATTGAATTAGAAATCAATTCATTCGAAGTAAAACCTTGGGTTTTGTATTTCGATGGGTCAAAAACCTCTAAAGGTACAGGAGTAGGAGTAGCATTGATAAATCCTTTAGAAATTTGCTGCAAGTTCGCATTCACTTTGGATAGGATTTGCACCAACAATCAAGCCAAATATGAAGTCTTAATCGTGGACCTAGAATTAATGATAGATATGGAAGTAAAGAATGTGATCGTTAGAGACGATTCTCAATTGGTCATTCGCCAATTGATTGGTGATTTTAAGTGCCAAAGTGATTCCATTATAAGTCTACATGAAATCGCCCAAGAGTTGTTGGAAGAATTCGATCAAGTAGAGTTTCAATGCGTTAATAGGATATATAATGACGTGGAAAATGAGTTGGCCCAGATGGCCTCAGGGTACTCGAAGGTTTTAAATTGGAAGTATATTTATGAGTATGGAACAATATTACCCGTGGTCCAAAGAAGGGCGAGAACGATTGAAATTCATTGCATACAAGATGGAGATGCAATAGATTGGAGGGCAGAGATTAAAAGGTTCCTTAAAGATCCTAATATAGGAAATAGTAAAAAAATGAAATTACGTTTGCTAAACTATACACTGATAGATGAAGAGTTGTTTAAGAAACGCTCTAATGGTATATTGCTAAAATGTGTAAGTTTGCAAGAAGTCAGGACGATCATGGCTGAAGTGCACGAAGGGATATGTGGAGCTCATCAAGCTGGCCAAAGGATGAGATGGTTAATTATTAGGAATGGATATTTTTGGCCAAAGATGGGAGAATCATGCGTTCAGTATGCAAAGAGTTGTCAGCATGCCAAAAGCATGGTCCAATACAAAGGGCGCCAACACGAGAGATGGCACATATTATCAAACCTTAGTCGTTTGAGGGTTGGGCACAAGACCTGATAGGGAAGATTTATCCCCCATCGTCCAAGCAACATACCTTTGTTATAGTTGCAACTGATTATTTCACTAAGTGGGTAGAAGCGATACCTTTAAAGGAGATCACCCAAAAGAATGTCATAGAATTTATCTGTGATCGTATTATTTATAGATTTGGAATTTCACAAACTTTGATGGTAGATCACGAAACTTCTTTAAATGGAGATCAAGTGAATGAATTCTTGAGCTAGTCTGGAGTTAAATTAGTAAACTCCACACCATATTACGCTCAATCCAACGGACAAGCAGAATCTTCTAATAAGATTCTAAAAAATATCATAAGGAAAATGATAGATGAAAATGCCAGAAATTGGCACGAATGTCAGGACAAGGCCTTATGGGCTTATAGAACGTCGCCTCGATTAAGTACCAAAATCACTCATTTCCAACTTACTTATGGACAGGAGGCCATTTTGTCTATGGAAATTAACGTGCAATTGATCAGAGTGTGTTTGCAACATAAGTTAAGTGATGATGAATATATCGAATCACTAGTTCAAAATTTATTGGAGTTGGACGTCCTAAATAGATTGCAAGTTCAAAAATGAAGAATGGCTAAGTTCTATAATAAAAAAGTTATAGCCAAGTCGTTCAGCCTGGGCGAATTGGTTTGGAAAACAATACTCCCTTTGGATAGCAAGGATCCAAAGTATGGCAAGTGGTCGCCAAATTGGGAAGGGCCATATAAAGTAAATAGTGTGTTGCCTAATGGGGCCTATCATTTGGAAGATTTAGATGGCATCAAGTACATGAGATTCATTAATGGTAAATATTTGAAAAAATATGTTCCTTCCTTATGGGAAAGTGAACAAATAAAAGCATAATCAAATTGCGTTGAACGATCGTAAATAAAAAAGGGACAGAGCAAAATACGCTCAAATAAATTCCTTTGTTATCAAACGTTCATTACAAAGTTGCAAAATACAAAATATTAAATGCTCTATAAGTTACAATTGAGAGCAAACTAATCTCTAGGTCGATCGCCAAGTAAGAGGGTGAACTGGCCTTGATTGCTATCCTGATCGCACTGCTGTAAAGGCAAGCAGAGAGGCCGAGAAGCACTCTCAGCAAGCAGAAGGGAAGAAGAAGAACCCTCATATCGCCTTCCTAAATGCATCACTGCAATAATGGGCAAGAAGGCTGAAAAGTACTCTCAACAAGCAAGGTCGATTGCAGGCATCCTCAAAAATTATCTTCCATCATCGAACTCCTTATAAGGAACATGGAAACAATGGGAAGAACTTCGCTGGCCAAAGAATATTTCTTATATCTCCCATACCAAAGGTGACATAAAAAAAGATGACAAAATGGGCGGATCAAATGATCCATTTCTATGGAAGACAAAGGTTTTGGATCGATTGTCAAAATGTCAAACAATGGCAGCAAATTGATTTTGAAGAAGAGAATGGAAATGAAAATGACAAGTGTGGAATATAAGTGCATTTATAAGGGCGTGAAGGTGAAGAGGCAGAATATGAACAGCCACATTCGTGCCTAGTAAATGGAATCAAATGGCCCGAAGTCTTGGGAAAAGAGACAGAAATACCAAGAGAAAATATGCGTGAATCTTAGCATAAAGCAGTTAAATGCTTGGGGTTGACGATTAAAGACGATGTCAATAAATACACAAGAAGACAAATTAATCATTCATTAATGATAATGGCTGCTGGTACGTTCAGAATTACCAATGGACATCAGTACGAGGTTGCAAGGGGAAAGTTAATACGAAGTTACAAAAAGAAAAGTTAAGGCATTATATGTCTTAATTACAATTCACCCCAGACCGAATGAATTCTTTCCCTAAGTCTCCCCTAATCCTCGCTCCGCGGAGAAGAAGTGATATACAATTCAGCTACAAAATCATCATCAACTTCCAGCTTCTTGTACTGCTCGACCAAAGACTTGGTTCGCTCAATTCCTTGGGAGGCATTACGTTTTTTAGCAGCCATTCTCGCCTTACAGTTGTCCATCCTTGCTTGAAGCTCCTTCATCTGTGCAGCCAAACTAGTCATCAGAGAGTCTTCAATCATAACTTCGGAAGAGATTTCTTTCAATTTGTCCTCAACTTTGTTGATTTCCAGAAGCAAAGACTCTTTCAGATACAGCGCGAAGATATTGAGTACTCTTGGCCTTCAGTTCAACATTTTTAGCCAGCAAGGAAAGAATCTCGAAATGGACAACTTTCAACGTCGCTTTAAAATCAGCAGAAAGATTGAGCGACGGAAGTGTCAGTGCTTGTGCCAACTTCGCACTCAAATGCTCAAGCTTATCCTTATGTTTGGCAGCACTTGCCTGACCGATGTCCATATCCATAAAGGACACATACTCAAATATCGACTGCTTGAGGAACTTCATATCTCCTCTGAAGAAGCAGAAGGATGACCGGTTGAAGCAGGGCGAGACGTCTTGACTTTCTCCTAGGAAGTGAACAAGTCCTGGATGGAACACACAATCTTATCAGTATTCTGCAAAGAAAATTGCCAACATTGAAGGTTTTCACTACAATAAACAAAGTGGAAGTAAAAGTGAAGCAAAGATTACCTCATCAGCAATCTTGGGAGGTGGCATATCACCAGCCAAATCTACCACCTTTGGCTCCACCACTTGTGAGGACTTCCCCTTTTTTGGGCGAGAAAAATTTGCCACAACGGGCAAACCCATGGGAGCATCTGCAGAACTCAAAAAGCAACAAATCAAAAACCAATAATACAAGCAAAGTTAAAACATCAAAAAATGTATTACCTTCTGGTTCGACGTTTGGGGGGTTGACGCCCTGGGAAGAAGGTGGCTCATTCATTGGTTGTGATGAGGATTTCGGGACTGAAGGTTTCTCTTTAAGCGTAGTCCCTTCATCAGCTGGTTTGGATGAAGCAGCCTCAGCAGAGGATGATGGAGCAGGAGCTGCCAACATCAAAGCCTTCAAAGGAGAGGCTAAACTTTTCTGAGAAATCCAAATAAACTATCAGCACAAAGAAAAGTTTCAAGTATAGAAAGGTATGCTTGTGAGTAAACTAATTTAATTACCTTTCTCCTAACGATGAGAGGAGTGTCATCATCATCATCCTCCTCCTCCAAAATGGAAGATGCTAAGGCTGGCCGTTTGCGGCTTGGGGCACTCTTAGCTACAGTGGGCTTGGCAGGAAGAAAAGTAGATGGACGAACAGACTATTTAGTACGAGTAGGGGAGGAAGGACTCCTAATGGACACAGGAGTGACCAAAACAGGAGAAGTGGAAGAAATATTTGGCTGATCTAGTGAATGGAAAGCACGACTGGCATCAGTTGCAAACAATATGTGCTTCACTGATGGCCAGAGACGTTCAAAAAGGGGATGGATGGCACGGCTAGGATTGAAGGGGGCTAATGAAAAGTTACTCGTCAAAAGAATATTGCGACCATCTATAGCTTCTGCCTCTGCCTTATTAATGGTGTGGAAGCGATCTATCAAATTTCTTGAATAACAAGGGGGAACGGGCCAAGTTTTGCCAAAACCAAGTTGACGAGCAAAAAATTGGGGAGCATATATTTCAACCCCAGCTTTGGCATTAATTCCAGTCAAAATATCATGGAACAACTCCCTCCCGATCAAAAAATGAACCCAAATGAGCAGAGAGGTGCTCACACTGTCCAGGGTGGATGGGGGTTGCACATAATCTGGAGTCAAAGGGGGAGGAAAAGGAAAGAAAGAAGGAATTGAATTCAAAGTATAGAAGAATGAAAAGATGTCCCTTCTGAATATATTTACAGGGCTCAGTGGGTCAATAGCTAGCCCATAGCAGCTAGCAAAATGAAGGGACAAGGATAGAGCACCAAGTGATGAAAAATAGACTCTCAACCACATTTGAGTGAACCAAAGAGGCCCACTACCAGTGGGAGATGCACCATTCTTCAATTGGAATTGAAGAGAAACCATGCCTCTATAGAGGGCAGCAAAAAAGAAAGAACACAAATTCAGAGGCCTACCACGCGCCAATTCGTGCGCTATAGGTAAATAGCTCATAGAAGGCTTCATACTTGGCACATACAGAATATATTTATAAAGTCAAATCTGAAGAAAGGCCACACGCTCACCATGGGAAGGCTCAGCGTTCGAGTGATTATAACAGCTTTGCAGGCTTGAATAGGACTCGGTGAGTTTTCTGTCAAATTTTGGGGCGACACCAGAAATCAAAATACCAGGGAAAATGGTATCACCCAAAGGTGGCAGATTTACTAAGGCCCCAACATTCCTTAAAGTAATGGACATGGGACCAAGAGGGAAAACAAAAATATTATATTCAGAAGACCAAAAACTTAGAGCTATAGGAAAAAGTGTTGGGTCAAAAATTGGGGGTTGAAGAGAGATTTCTAATAAATCAGAAATCCTAGCACTATCAAAAATTACCTTGGTAGGACCATGGCCCACAAGGTGAGTATGCCATCTACGGAAAACAATATCAGATTTAGGCCAAGTGCGAATACCTCTTTTGCGAAGCGGCCTCAGCGGCAAAGAGTTCAGAAACAAAGGGCCTTGAGTACAATGGAACAGCTGGCCCACCGCCATTTGTTCGACGGCCTCGGCGTTGTTGAATGAAGGACCTAGATAGAACTCATTGAGTTCGGCATTGGCTGGTGCAAGGAAGTTCGGAGTTATATATGGCCGAGTGAGGATTTTCTGGAAGTCTTCGAAACTGAAAGAGTTACCAGATTGGGTTTGTGAACAGCCATTGGGAACGAAATAAAATTTTGTTGAAGTTTGCTTGAGAAACGTAGCAGAAAAGCAAGAAGATGAACAGTAATATTGCGAGAGTGAAGCGCGAAACAATGAGGCGTGATTTAGTGGTGCGATGAAATGACGTGTATTTGGGAATTATAAGGGTTTGCAACGTCGCGCCTTTTCAGGCTATGGAAGAAAATAATGATTGAAATTCTTGGGAATTTCAAATGTTGCTGGAAAACACAAAGTAAATATGGCAAATATTAATAATTGGTATTAATTCTGTCATATTGGGGGGTAATTGTTGACACACTAAAAGTGCAGTCCAAATCGAATAGTCCAAGGAGTGAAGCCCAATTAGGGAATCTCCAAATCAAATAGCCCAAAGAATGAAGCCCAACTGGGCAATTCAGGATAAAGGTCCAAATAGGGTTATTAATGAATGCAGTGGAAGCCCACTAACGTGGTAACACCATCGCCCAAACTTGCAAGACGCCCAAGATCTGAGCGAATGAAGTGCCTTGCAGTCGCCCAGATTTATGACCCTGTTCTCGCCCAAACCTTCGAATCGCCCAAGATCTTAGGAAACATAAGATGTTATGGTTATCAAAAAGTGTAGTTATCGAAGCAGTTATTGAGTAATCTTATCACGTTTCACGATTCAAGGAGTTCAGTTGAAGACAGTTGAACGACAAAGGGTAGTGGCAGCAGTTAGAGACGGCAGTGCCACGATAAGTTGGCCACCATGAAGAAAGTGGGCAGTTATAAAGCAATTAAGCAGTTTCTAAGCGATTGATTACGAAGAAATCATCAAGGGAATATAAAAAGAGAGAAGACATAGAGCAAAGGAGCCCGAATCAAACACTCTCAACTAGAGAATATGTAATTTCAATTTCTTAGTTTAGACTTAAACATTTCTTTTCAGTACTCGTGTGCTTGCGCTCCTTGAAGGCATTCTGTTTAAATTCCAATTGTAAAGTCATCGCCAATAAAACACCACTTTTTGGGACTTTGTCTCAAGAGATTTGTTCCTTACACAATCGTCTGATCCCTTTTTAATTGTTAGCGACTACCCGCGCGAAACAATAAGAGTTTAGTATCAATCAAGGAGTCTCGTAATCCAGAAAAGTACCCGAAGGAAGTGGAACGGCTATACAAGGTTTTTTTTTTCTTGTTCATTTTCGGTTAGTATTATAGGATTAATCCATAGAAATCTCCGAATGGTTTCTTCTCCAATGAAACTGGTAAACATTTTCGAGAATAACAAGAAATGTATAAAATGTTTATTGTTTTAGTCTCTAACATAGGTCCAATCAAATTAGCAAGTTTATATACCTTCTATTCCACGTGGAAAATTCTCGACATAATCCACATGTCAATCTTATTTACATTTTATTTGTTTCGAACTCGAACAATACTTATAATAGATATTAACAAAGAAAATATACATGACTTATTTCTTACGGTAGATTAAGCAACAATAGATTGGTAACTTAATGGATTTTATTATCGAATTCCATTTTAAAATATAATCAAGTTCTACAAGGCAGACATAAAATATTGAAAAGCAATGCAAACTTAGGTAATTGCCTAGTATTGCCCAAAAAAAATGATAAAGTGAAATTAGGGTCGTAAGCAAAAAAGTCAATCTGAAAAATCAAAACAAAATTACCTTTTTAAAAGAATAAATCCTCTTGGACATGATCTGTCCAAGTAGCGAAGCAATTACCAATTTGGTGCCACTTGGACTCGTCAATGGATTGTTTTGGAACTAAGTCAAATTGTTCTATAACAGTTTGGTCTAGGTTCTAATATTTAAACTGTAGTTTGAAATTAAACTGGTCGAATCATTTAAACATTAAAATAAATAGGAAATTTTAAATTTCTACTAAAAATTAATCCAATTTGAACATAGGGCAAGCTGATAAATTAAAATCTCAACATTCAAAATAAAATATAACTATTAAAATTTTAATCTAAAAAAGAACAATTTAATGGTCGTTTATCACTTAGCACCTAATTTTACAA